TAATCAAGGAAAATTCTCCTCAAACAACTATGAAGTATTAAAAAAAAACTATAAATTGATACTCCAAACAGAATTAAATTTATTCTAGCAAGCATTTGAGAATATGAAAAATCACTTGAATCAGAAATTCAAAAACTGAAAACAGAAATGGACAGTAAAGAGGGAGAAATTATAAAAAAGAATTGATGGAGTTCAGAAAAGAAAGAGAAAAAAATGTCAAAATTATCTCAGAAATGAAGAATATATTACAAGATACCCATCATGAAAATTTAATAAAATCAATAAAAGCAGGAAAATAACTATCAGAATTTAAATGACATAAAGAAGTAATAAATGTCAGAGAAAAAGTAGAAATGGAAGACTTAGTCAAGGAAGGAATAATATTTGTTTTATTGGAATCTCTGAAGATCTTTTCAAAACAATAGAAAAGATCTCATATCTAAAACTACAAGAAAACATTCCATATAGAAAAGACCTGAATCCACACACTGAAAGTATACCTAGTACCTTGAAAAATTAATCCGCAGTTGTAAGGTTACTATAGCTTATACAATTGACCCTTGAACAACATTGGTTGTTGTTTACTTATACATGGGTCCACTTATATACAGATTGTTTTTCAATAAATACTACAGTGATACTACACCATCTGCAGATGCAGAACTGCAAATATAGAGGGCTGACTATGAGTTAAATGTGGATTTTCAATTGCACGGAGAGTTGGCACCCCTAACCCCCACATTGTTCAAAGTCAGCTGTATAGTTCTTTTGTGTTTCTAAGTTATTTGGGTTTTTGCATGAAGCCTTAAGGATTTAATTACTATCTTTGAAGTATAATAATTTTACTAAGATATATCTTAGAGTTAATTGCTGTGGATTAATTTCCCATTAATTAACTAATGGAAAAGATGCTAAAAAAACAAAATACACAATTTATAGAATATGATGATAAAATTGAGACCAAACATAACAATCATAACGATCAAAATGAATGAGCTTTACTCAAAGATTAAAGAAAAAAATTAGTTCATGTAACAAAACCCAACTACATGCTGTTTATAAGACACATACTTAATGTGATTCAGAATAGCTGAAAAATAAAAGGATGGGCAAAAGTATACCAGACAAATGGAAACAATATGAGAGCAGGGATAGTGATTTTGATATCAGATGTAGTAGAATTCAAGTCCAAGAACATTAAATGTGATAGAGAAGATTTATGCTAAAACCCACACCTTATAATTAGGATGTTACATTTATGAATATTTATGCATATCAACTACCTTTAGGAAACAGAGCCCACAGGAGATGCAGAGACATATGGAAACATACCAATAATAGGAGACTTTAATATACCTCTTTCATGACTAGATAGATGAAGTGGACCAAAAAAAAAAAATGAGCAAGAAGATCTAAACAACAGAGTCAATAAGGTTGATCTTATTGGGTATATACTGAATGCTATATCTTGAAAGTGGAAAGTATGACACATTGACAAAATTGATTACATATTAGGTCCCCAAAAAACAGTAACTTCCATAAACTAGAAGTATTACAAACAACACTGATTACAATGCAATAAAACTATGTTTTACTAACAGGAACAAAAGCAGCCTCTTCCACCTGTAAATTAAAAAATTGTTTAAACAACTGCTGCATGAAAGGGGAAATAGAACAGAAAGTCCAGAATTAGACCCCCAAACAATGGAAATTTAGTTATATGACAAAGGTAATGTATCAGTCTGGTTTCAATAAAGAGAGAGAAACCAATACAGTAACTCAAGTTAAACAGAAAATTTATTATAAGATTCATGAACTCTAACAGGAGACTGGCATAAGGAGGACTTATGTAGTGAGAGGCAAAGAGAATTTCATAGGAGTAACAGATAAAAGGAGCAGCTTCTGCCCCCAGGGAGGAAGAACTTCCCATGTCCTCAGGTTTGAGATTCATTCCTCATTGAAGAGGGTACTGAATGGGAGAGAAGTTCACTGTGGTCCTGCACTGACAGAACTTGCTGGAAATCATTCCTTTGGAACTTTTTGGAAATCTACCTTCTAAAGTGTCAGGGAAAGCTGTTCATTGGAAAAAGTTTTACTGGAGTCACTCCACTATGCAACCACCTGAGGGACGGTCGGTGCTGGGTAATGTTACTGGCCACTGTTCCCTGATGGAGCCTCTTGAGCGAGCACACTGGAACCTGGAAGCAAAATCTTTCATCTGGTAGTCCCCAGTGCCCTCTACTGGCAAAGCTTAACACAGTGCCAATTGGCAAAGAAAAAATGCTAAAAGGACTCAGATTTACTTTCACGGTTCCGGCATCAAAAAGTAAACTTGGAGCTGAAAGACAGTAAACGGATAACTGGCACAGGCAACATCTCAAAGCACTGCGAAGAAGATGTGCTTCTAAAAGTAACAGTACTGGGACAACTTGGTAGCCATTTGGAGAAAGGTAAAATTACATTCGTGTCTTAAACCATCCACACATAAACTCTAAATGGATTACTGTCTACTTGAAATCATACACATAGTAGAAGAAAACATGGGTGACTTCTTCAACCTTAGTGTAGGGAAAGGCTTTCTAACTCTGACTCAAATCTGAAGGCAAAAAATATATATATTAATAAATTTGCTGCATAAAAATAAAAAATTTTGCATGATGAAAAATACCATAAATTAAACACCTGATAAACTGGAAGATACAATATATAAAACAGACACAGGGCCACAACTTTTAATATTTAAAGAGCTCTTCAAAATTAAGCAAAAACAGACCAATAGTCTGATAGAAAAATGATGAAAATACATGCAAAAAAAAAAGGCCCTCAAACACATGAAAAATTGTTCACACATAATTAGAGAAATGGAAATTAAAATGACATTGAGATACCCTTTTTCACCTGTAACAGTAGCAAAAAAAAATTTAAAAACATAAGACAACACTTTCTGTTGGCAATGTTGTGATAGAATAGACACTCTTATAAGTGTGAATGCAAATTACTACTCTGGCCCTCCTGCCCCTCCTCACTTTGCATTGAAGATCTGGAATGGCTTGGAATGCTTTCTTCTCTTTCTCTGAAAGTCTTGCCTTTTGTGGCTGAATGGCATGAGTATTTCAGGGGACTTCTCTCAATTCTTTTGCCTTTTAGTCGTTGAAAGCCTGGAGTGTTTTAATTAATTATTTAATATAATTAATGATATGGCTGATTTTGGTCTTTCATATAATGATTACTTGGGCTGATTTTAATCACTCAATTTCATTTTTAATTTTCTATTTACTAGTTCTTCGTGCCTCCTATTCTACCTTCTTTTTGTTGTAGCATGTATTCTTTAGTATACTGTTTTGTCCTCTGTGTTGATTTTCATCTATACCTCTCAGTGTCATTTTTTAAAAAATAGCTGCTCTTCGAGATATTACAACATGAATTTTGAAGTTAATCATAGTCTACCTTCAAATAATTGTACCTCATGACCAATGTAAAAATTTTACAACAGTGTAATTTTAATTAGCCCTGTGTGCCTGTTGTCTTGTTCTATCCCCGTGTGTGTGTATATCCTTCACAGTATTTTTATTTTTTGACTTTAAACAATCTGTAGTCTCAAAGAAATTTGCATATGTATGTAAATGTAGTTTAAAAAGATTTTCTATATTTACCTACATGTTTACCATTTCAGATGCGTTTAATTCTTTCCTGTGGTTTTATCTTGTATCATTTTGTTTAAGACCTAGTAACTTCTTTTAGCATTTCTTGTATTGTGTGTCTGTTAGTGGGAAATTCTCTCAGCCTTTATCTAGGGATCTCTTCATTTCACTTTCCCTTTTGAAAGATATTTTCTCTGGATATAGATTTGTAGGCTGACTGTTTCCTCTGTTAGTGCTTTAAAAATATAGTTTTATTTTCTCCAGAATGAATTGTTTCTGATGAGAAATGAGTAGAATTTCTTTTATTTTTTTCTCAGTATGTAGTGTGTCTTTATTCTCTCATTGCTATTAAGATTTATTCTTTATTATTATCCACCCCATCCCCCACTGCCCCTGAAATTTAACTGTGATGTGCCTTGCTGAGGTTTTCTTTGTGTTTGTTCACTGTGGGGTTTGTTGAACTTTTGCATCTTTTGGTTTGTTATCTTTCATCAACTTTGGAAATTATACAAGTGTTATCTTTTAATATGTTTCTTCTGCCTCATTGTCACTTATATTTCTTTCTAGGACCCTACTGACACTCCATGTTAAACTCTGTAATCTTGGATTTTCTATTCTATTAACTTTCTACTTTTTTCTTTTTTTAATTAGCTACTTCCTTTTTTACTATATTCAAGTTCACTAATCCTTTCCTTTGTGTCACATCTGCTATAAAACCTATCTAGAAATTCTTTATTTCTAATCTTATATTTTTAATTTTTATTATTTCTTTTTTTTATAGTTTACATATCCTCTGAAATTCCTCATCTCTTCCTGCTTACTGTTCAGTTTTTTCCATGAGATCTTTCTATTTATATTATAATGCCTGCCAGTTTTGACATTTGATTCATCTGTGGTCAGTTTCTGTTGCCAACTTTATCTCTTGATTGTTGTATATATTTTTGCTTTGTGGTATACTATATAATTTTTGATTACATGCTAGACTTTTTGTGTAAAAGAACTGTAGAAAATGAAATAAATAATATACGTTTCCATGCCCTTCTTCTAGATTGGGGGGTGAATGTGGTGGGGAAGCCCGAGGTAATGAAATTGGTGATTACTGTCAGTTTTTTTTTTAATTCAGTTTTAGTTTGAGTCAGGTCATCACTGGTTTCAGGTGCTTTGAGGATGGGATCACAATTTTCTTTTCAACAGGACCTGGTAACTGAGCACTGTTAGTTTCCAGAGATTTGCTCTTGCTTCACAGCTGAGCTACCGGCTATAAAAATGTGGGAAATCTATTTTTCTCTGCTTTGTTGCCCAACTCTCAGATTCATGATTCACGTTCTACTTTCTCTGCCTCCTGTAAGCCCTGTTGCCCGTGTCCTCTGTTAAAGCCTGGAGAGCCTTATAGTCGTTTCTTTCAGCTGTTGTCTCACTCCTTGTAGTTGAAAGCTTGGAGTGCCTAGAGATGCAGGAATGAGGAAGGTTGGGGAAGATGCGAAGTTCTTTCTCTGTCCTACTTATAGTCTTTTGCGTCTGAAAGCTTGAAGTGTTCAGAGGGTACTTCTCAGTTGCCCTGATCTGGATTCAGCCTTCTGTAGCTAAAAGCCTAGAGTGCCTCTGGTGAATTTCTCTCTCTCTCTCTCTTCTTTCTCCCCTCCACACCCTAGCTGGACCCTAACTTTTGGCATACAATGCTTGAACACTTGGTGAAGACCTGGGTGGGAGTTGGCTATTAATTACAGACTTGCTTGTGGCTGTAAATCCTTGGGATTTTAACCTGTGAAGCCAGACTGTATGTGGCTGTAAAATGTTTGTTGAAAGTCTGGCTGATTTCTCTTTACTCCAAGTGTGGTAAATTCCTCTTTCTTTAGAAGAGGTAGAACAATTGTGGGTCTCTTTTCTCCTGTGAAGGACTTGCCACTTTCTAGAGTTTAGTTCATATAAATCCCTCTGTGGCCTCAGCTCTCAAACGGGTTTAAAAACCTGTGATTTTGTAGTTTATCCAGATTGTTTTGTTTGGTTCAGAGTGATAGATAGTCTTATGCTGCTTTGTGGAACACAGTGTTTTTCTATATTTCTAATTTTTTAGAACTTTCTCTCTTAATAGTAAAAAAAACATGAATTAATAACTGATGGATCACCCACTTAATTTTTAAAATTGTTCTTACAGTTCCTTAAATATTACAAGTTTTGTACACTTGAAGCAGAATATTGATTTGGTCTCCTCTTAATTTGAAATAACAAAAGCTGGCTCATTGCCCTGGAATATCACTGAGCAAAGTAAAATTCATTTGAATGTATCTCTTGATAATCATGACATGGAGGTTCTGAATAGGAAACAATATGGTCATGTACTCTTTATTTTACCCATAGGGAAATATCATTATGTTCTAGCTGTTCATAATAGTGAGATTGACCTCATTATGACCACTGTCAGTTATATCATTTGTAGATATTTTCTCTCATTCAGTAGGTCTTTTTGTTTTGTAGGTGGTTTCTTTTGCTGTGCAAAAGCTTTTAAGTTTAATTTAGTCCCATTTGTTTATTTTTGCTTTTATTTCCTTTGGTAGACAGATCCAAAAAAATATTGCTGCAGTTTCTCTATGTCAAAGACTGTTCTGCTTATGTTTTCTTCTAGGAGTTTTATAGTATCTGGTCTTATATTTAGATCTTTAATCCATTTTGAGTTCATTTTTGTATACGGTGTTAAAAAATGTTCTAATTTCATTCTTTTACATGTAGCTGTCCAGTTTTCCCAGCACTACTTTTTGAAGAGACTGTCTTTTCTCCATTGTATATTCTTGCATTGTTTGTTGTAGATTAATTGGCCATGAGTGTGTAGGTTTATTTCTGGGCTCTCTATCCTGTTCCATTGATCTATGTGTCTGTTTTTGTGCCAGGATCATACTGTTTTGATTACTGTGGCTTTGTAGTGTAGTCTAAAGTCAGGGAGCATGATTCCTCCAGGTCTGTTCTTTCTCAAGATTATTTTGGCTATTTGGTGTCTTTTCTGTTTACATACAAATTTTAAAATTATTTGTTCTAGTTCTGTGAAAAATGCCATTGGTATTTTGGTAGGGTTTGCATTGAATCCTCTCTTTGTTTTACTTCCTGAGAGATTTCTTTGGCTTTTTCCAAACGTATTACTGGATTTTTGATCTTGGTAAATATTTTTAATTTCTAGGATAATATCCTGTTCTTTTATGTGTGCTTCTTTTATAGATGCTATAATAATTTTTATTATTGTCTACTTTTATTTGCTCTCATTCTTGACTCTGTCTGAGGGAAGTAATCATAGATCCTCTTCCTTTCTGAATTATTTCTATTTCCTCTAGTGCCATTTTTTTCCCCTGTTAGTTATTCTTGGTCTCTGTTTCATGTTATGGGCTTTCCCCAATTATCTATGGTATTTGATTATTAGTTAACATTTTACAATGAACCAGGAGAAAAACTGTATCACTGGGAGGGGCTTTTAGACTGACAGGCTTTGCTCTGACTAAATGGATTACTTAATAACTCACTTTAGGATCTCTCATGCTAGAATGGGGTGGGCTTATTTGTTCTGTGGTACCTGGTACTCATACTTGCTACCTTGTCTCTTCCTAGAGAGACCATTCAGTTTCTTAAAACAACAACAAAACAGTATGTACGTGTTTCTTTCCTTTTTTTGGTTTTTGTTTTTGTTTTATGTGGGCAAACATTTGGTTGCCAAAGTTTGAGTGTCTGCTTTTGAGTGATGGAGGGCGAGAGAATGTTGACCATTTTCTGCCTCCACCTTGTTTCCCCTTCTCTCATGCCTCTCCTCTCCTCACTCCTCTTTTGTTTCACATATAAACCCATCCTCTACCCATATTCTACTCTACTAAATAATTGACATTTAAAAATTTCAACAAGTTTCACGCCAGTGATGGTTAAAGGCCCAAATTGAAATGTCATGAGACAGGGAGACTGTCAAGTGAGAGAAACACAACAAAGGTGTCTAGCTTCCACTCTGAATAAAGAAATTAATAATGGGATACCTTACAGAGTTCTGTAGTAGGGCAGGCCTCAGCATTTTGGAATTCATCTGGGAAAAGGCAAACTGAATGACAGCTACTTAGAGACAGTATAATTTGATGCCAGACTTTCTCAGGCTTGATTTTGTGTATTTATTTTTCAAGGTTCATTTATTAAATTCTTCTGTGAGCCAGGCACTGGAGTAAGAACTTGCCACATGTTATGACATTTATTCTTCAACCTTAATCCATCGTAGAAGGTACTGTTACCTTTATTTTACAGATAGTAAACAGAGGGAGGCTCAGAGAAATCATCTAGTTCATTTAAAATTTATTTCATTACATATACTCTTTCACAAGATGTGTTCAAATTATCAGGCTTTTAAAAAACTACTTCTAATGAGGCAAGCGTGTTGCTAAGTATACCTTATCTTGAGGAACTCTGAAGTGGAAAGGACTAGTCTTTTATACAGGTTACAAAACATACTGACAAAATGTGATAGAGCAATGACTGAGAAAAATGTTCAGTTGATGTCTGATTCTGATTAAGAATGGTCAAGAGAGGAGGAGACTTACGAATTGCATATTGAGGAATGACTAGGAACTTGTTGGACATGGGGTGAGGAAAGTGTTTAATTCAGGTAAAGGGAAAGGGGAAAATAAAGTAATAAAGTGTAAAGGTGAATGACATGGTTTTGAAGTAGGTGGTAACTTAGTGTAGTCCAGAGTAACTTGTTTGTGTGAGGGCATGGTGTTGACATGTCTGGGCATGAGGCTGGAATGGATGATGGGGGCTAACTTTTGTGTAGTCACCTTCTTATGTGCCTCGTAGGTGCCTTAACTGGTTCTCCTTCCTTTGCTTGCCGTCCCTTATTCACTCATTGCATAGGTATTGCTGATGGTAGTACATGCCAGAAGTTTCTGTTCTAGAGCCTCGCCTCTTCTCACTTACATACTTGCTCTGGGCCGCATAGTATCTTATTGCCATAATCTCTGTTTCCATGCTGATAACTCTCCATTGTTTATCTCCAGCTGAGACTACTCTCCTAAACATCAGCCACCTGCAGGACATTTTCACATGGCTGACTCGCAGACAAATCAAATCAAACCTGCCCCAAACTGAACTCATCATCCTTCTCCCAAAACTGCTTCTCACTGATCATTCTCACCATCCGTTCTCACTCCCCCTCATTTCCCCTGAATCACCAAGGACTACAGATTTTTGTCTCTAAATGCCTCTTGCCTTTGCTAATCTATACCCTCCTTGTCACTGCCCTATTCCAGTCCATCATCATCTTTGATTTGGATTGATGCGATAGCCTCCGGTGTTGCTTCCCCCCAGGCCAGTTTCTGTTGTGTGCAGCCAAAAACATTCCATGTGGTAGTTAAAAAAAGAAAAAGGTCTGAGGAAAGGATTATTTTTCAAATGAAAAGTTTCTCTCAGTATTATCCTGAATCTTAAAATTCAAATGTTATAGTAGCATGATGAAGTGCTTTCAAGGAAATAGTTGAAGAAACAGAGGAAAAGGATCAGCAGGTCTGGAAGGTGAACCTGTAGCTGTTAGAAGCTACATAAGATGTATTATAACTTCAGAAATCTTTAATCAGACCATATGGGATATTAAAGATGATCTCTTCCAGCTCTCTTATTTTACATATGACTAACCTGAAGCACAGTAATGTGAATTCCTTATCTCAGGTCATTGTAAGTTAGTGCAGAATCCAGGTTTCAGTCTCTTAAAACTCTGGGTTCAAGTGTCATTACCAAGACTATAGATTGGAGCCAGACTCCTAGGGTCAGCATGCCAGCTCTATCATTTGTAAGCTGTGTGTACATGAGCAACTTAAGTAAGTTCTTTGTGCCTGAGGTTCCTTATCTGTAAAATTAACAATAACAGAACCTACCTCATAAAGTTGTTAGGATTAACTAAGTTAATATGCATTTAGACCAGTGTAATGTACTAAGTAATGTACACTTTGACCAGTCTGAGCACAGAGTAAGCAGTGTCAGCTGCTGTTGTTATCACTCCAAGGCATCGTGAGTTTAATTATGTATATGGCCTAATTTATATATTATGTTACTTAATACTTTCATTTTGAAATACAGAGAAATAGCCATGTGCTTACAATACAGTTTAAAGGGATTACTGTAGGTGTTGACATTAGTGAAGGATGTGGCCCAAATCCTCCGTGAATACCATTGCAGAATGCTGTGAAAAGCTGCACTGAGACGCGGATACCTGGTGGCTGGCTAAGCTCTTTGACTCATTTCCACAAAGCAGCCATCCATCAAATGTGCTTCAAATTTGTGTTTTAGCAAAATTACACATTACTATTTTGAATCTTTTAGAATTACAAATAGTGTTAAATGCTCAAATACTAATATGCCAATATAAACATGTTTTGAGGATGCTAAATGGGAAGTGAGGTTCTCTTATCTAGTTAACTGAGCATTAAAAAAAATAGAAAGGAAACAGGTTGTTTATTTCAGGACTCCTCAGAGCATTTAATATGTTATATTAGCCTATCTTGTGATTTTCTTAAAGATCAATAAAATTTGTAGCCAAACTTATTTGATTTTGAGAATAGTTATTTTAGCAAATGGTTAACCACTGGATTTTGTAGAATAATAATCAACTGCCTTAAAGTTGTATTAATATGCCTCAATTATAAGCGAAATCTTCCTTTAATAAGGCAGAGAGTATAAGAAATTATGTATTTGTCAAATAAGGAAGCTGTCGGCTGAGAAAGGTGTAACATTCACAGCTGATACCTTTCTTAGTTATTGCGGACTTTATGATGCAATACACCAGTTTAACATTGCAGTTACAGATATATTTCTGATGCTACAATTTGGACATAGAATATACTTTTGACTACTATGATTTGTTTACCTATCTCACAGCCCTGAGCTTTTTTCAGTCATACAAGGTTTATCGTTCTTAGAGATGACTGATAGTTTTGTTGCGAATGAGAAGGAAAACTGAGAATTACTTATTTGGTGTCCTAGTTGCAGGGTTGTGTTCTTTTTAATCTCAACCCATTATACTACTTCCTTCTTAGAGCCTACTCTGATCTTTCCGTGAAGACTTAACTGCCGAGTTCATCTTGTTCATACAGGTTACCTTAGAACATTTTGCTTCTTTTTATTATAGCTTCTTGTTTTCATGTGTACCAGTTCACTGTACTATAGACTTCTTGAAGGTGAGTCTGAACTTTTAATTTGAATTGCTTATGGTGCCAAATAAGTCCCAAATAAAAATTTGCTGAAGGAAGAAAAGAATTTGTGAGACTGAATTAGCTTTAAGAAGACCCAAAAAAAAAAAAATCCTTTGTTAAAGTTTTTGGCCATGTAAAAGACCAAATTCTTGTGACCTAATTGACACGTGAGCACCATTATACACACTAGAAATATATTTGCATCTATATCTATTGTCAGTGAAATATCAGATTTTTTAAACAGATAAAATAACAAAGTTCGAGTCTTTATTTAAAATTACCTGCACTTACATGATGAATATACTACAAAAATATGGGTTTCAGATTTTTCTGAATTATAAAAGTTAAAAAAGTGGATTCACAAAGTAGTTTTGTCCACATACAGTTTCTGTGAATGCATGCTTTTAGAATAATACTTTCCCAAACAACCTGACCTCTTGCCAGTCTTACTTTTATTCATTTTAGGATTGTTACTACCTTTCTTAAAATAGAAATACACATATTTAGTTATTTATATTATTTGATTAAATATCATCATTGTACAACTTTAAAGTAAGAAAAATGTTTTCATTGGAAAATGGTGATAACTTTGTGCTTATGAATGTTGAGACTTAGTCCTGAGACCCCCTCTGCCCCAAACTGAACAGCCAGCTGTGCAGGAACCCAGCTTCTACTGGGCCAGCACCAACCCTGACTCTGCACCAGCTGTCCCAGGACCCAGCCCCACCCAACAGCAGGCCATCACCAGCCCCAGGCCCCCTGAATCCTACAGCCAACTGTACCAGAACTTGGTTTGGCCATCCAGCATTCTGGCACCAGCCACAAGACTACTTGGGCCCTACTGCCAGCTGTGCTGGGACCTTGCCTTGCCTACCAGCAGGTGGGCAGCATCTGCAAGAGGCAAGGCCAAGCAGTCAATCAGGCTTGTGGTCAGCCCCACCTATTAGTACATCCACAGTAGTTGGCCCCACGCTACAGAAGAGCCCACACAAGTCATGCAGGGGAAACCCCTAGAACATACTACTCTGGTGACTAGAGGGGAGTGTGTGGCTGAGCCCCATAAGATGTCTTCTACATAAGGCCACTTCTCCAAGATTAGGAAATGTAACTGACCTACAGAATTCTTAGAAATAAAAAAAGAGAATTAGGCAGAATGAGATGACAGAGGAAAATGTTCCAAGTGAAGGAATATGATAAAACCCCAGAAGAAGAACTAAGCCAAGGGAAGCTAAGCAATCTACCTGATAAAAAGTTCAAGGTAATGATTATAAATATGTGCAGGAGAACAATGGATAACACAGTGAAAAGTTTAACAGAGTTAGAAAATTTAAAGAACCAGAGCTGAAGAGTACAATAACTGAGATAAAAAAACAAACAAACAAACAAACAAAAAAACACACTAAGAAGAATAGAGTAGATTAAGTAAGAGAGAAGAACAGATCAGTAAACTGGAAGACAGAGTAGTGGAAATCATTCAAACTGAGCAGAAAAAACGGTAAAAAGAATTAAAACAGAAACAAAACTGAGGATAGTTTAAGAGAATTCTTGGTCAACATCAACATCTAATAACATTATAGGGACCCTGGAAGGAGAAAAGTGAGAGAAAGGGGCAGAGAACTTATTTCAGTAAATAATAGCTGAAAACTTCCCTAACTTGAGAAAAGAAACAGTATTCAGGTCCAGGAAGCACAAAATGTCAAACAGGATCAACTCAAAGAGGACTACAAGACACATTGTAATTAAAGTGGCAAAAGTTAAGAATAAAGAGAGACTCCTAAAGGCAGCAAGGGAAAAGCAACTACTTACATTAAAGGGAACTCCCATAAAGCTATCAACTGATTTTTCAGTGGAAACTTTACAGACCAGAAGGGTGTAGCGTGATATATTTAGAATAATGAAAGGGAAAAACCTACAACCAAGAATAATGTACCTGGCAGAGCTATCATTCAGATTGGGAGGAACAATAAAGAGTTTTATAGATAAGTAACAGCTAAAAGAGTTCAACACCATTAACCAGGCATTAACAAAAAATGTTAAAGGATCTTTATTAGTGAAAAGAAAAGATCACACTAGAAATATGAAAATTATGAAAGGAAAAAATCTCATTGGTAAAGGCAAATATGCAGTAAAGGTAGTATATCAACCACTCATAAAGTTAGTAGGAAGGTTAAAAGACAAAAGTAGGAAAACCATCTATATCCACAATAAGTAGTTAAGGGGTACATGAAACTAAAAAATGTAAAATATGATGTCATAACATTAAACATGGTGAGGGGAATAAAAATGCAGGGTTGTTAGAATGAGTTTGAACTTAAGAGATCATCAGCTTAAAATAATCATGTATATATATATAGTTTGTTATGGAGAACCCTTATGGTAACCACAAACCAAAAATTTATAATAAATACATGTGAAAAAGGGAGGGAATCCCAAACTTAATCCTAAAGATAATCATCAAATCACAAGGGAAGACAGCAAATGAAGAAGAAAACAACAGCAACAAAAAAAAACCCCAAATAATTAATAAAATGGCAATAAGATATACTTACCAATAATTACTTTAAATGTAAATGGACTAAATACTCCAATCAAAAGACATAGAGTGGGTGAATGGATTTTAAAAAAAAACACAAAAACTAAAAACTGAGACCCATATATATGCTGCCAACAAGAGACTCATTTAAGATGTAAAAACACACTGAAAGTATGGGGATGGACAAAGGTATTTCATGGAAATGGAAATGAAAACAAAGCTGTGGTAGCAATACTTACGTTAGTCAGAACAGATCTTAAAACAAAGACTGACAAGAGACAAAAAGGACATTACATAAGGATAAATGGATCAGTCCAACAAGAACATAGCACAGTTACAAATTGTGTAACCAATATAGATGCACCTAAATTGATAAAGCAAATATTAGCAAAATAAAGGGAGAAATTGACAGTAACAATAATAGTAGGGGACTTTTAACACCGCCACTTACATCAATGGACAGATCATCCAGACTAAATTAATAAAGAAACATTGGCCTTAAATAACACATTAGACCAGGTGGGATATATATATATCTATATATAGATATATAGATATAGATATATAGATATAGAAACAGAGGTATATATCTATATCTATATTAGTATATTATCTATCTATCTACCTACCTACCTATATATAAATCATTCGACCCAAAAGCAGCAGAATAAATTACTTTCAGTGCACATGGAACATTCTCCAGGATATATCATATGTTAAGCCACAAAACAAGCCTCAATAAATTTTAAGAATTATATCAAGCATTTTTTCCAACCAGTGGTATGAGACTATAAATCAACTGCAAGAAAAAAGGCCTGCAAAAAACACAAACATATGGAAGATAAACAGTATGCTACTAAACAACCACTAGGTCACTGAAGAAATCAAAGGGGAAATTAAAAAATGCCTCGAGACAAATGAAATGGAAACACAATAATTCAAAATCTATGGGACACCCCAAAAGCAGTTCTAAGAAGATACAAGACTACCTCAGGAAACAGGAAAAAAAAACTAATCTCAAACAAACTTACATCTAAAGGAACTAGAAAAAGAACAACAAACAAGACCCAAAGTTAGTAGAAGGGAAAAAATCCTAAAGATCAGAACAGAAATAAATGAAATTAAGACTGAAAAACAATAGGAAAGATCAAGGAAACTAAGAGCTGGTTTTGAAAAGATAAACAAAATTGATAAACCTTTAGCAAGACTCATCAAGTTAAAAAGGAGAGGGCCCAAAGAAATAAAATCAGAAATAAAAAGAAGTTATAGCTGATACCACAGGAATACAATGGATCAAAAGAAATTACTATGAACAGTGATACAACAATAAAATGGACAATCTAGAAGCACTGGGTAAATTTCTAGAAGTGTCTTATCTTCCAGGACTGAATCAGGAAGAATAAAGAGACCTCTAATGAAATTGAATTAGTAATCAGAAAACTCTACCAACAAACAGAAGCCCATGACCAGTTGCCTTCACAGATGAAGTCTACCAAACATTTAAAGAAGAATTAACACCTACCCTTCTCAAACTATTGCATAAAATTGTAGAGGAAGGAACACTTTTGAACTCATTCTATGAGGCCAACATTACCTTGATTCCATAACCACTGAGAGATACCACACACACACACACAAATTACAGGCCTATATCACTGATGAACATAGATGTAAAAATCTTCAAGAAAATATTAAATTGAATTCAACAACACAATAAAAGGCTTATCTACCATGATTGAGTGGGATTTATCACAGGAATGCAAAGATGGTTCAGTTATCTGCAAATCAAGTAATATGATATCCAGTAGTAACAAATTGAACAATAAAAATTACATGATCATTTCCATAGGTGCATAAAAAAACCTTTTGACAAAATTCAACTTCTGTTTATCTTAAAAACTCTCAACAAAGTGGGTACAGAGGGAACATACCTCAACATGATAAAAACCATATGTGACAAGCCACAGCTAACATCACACTCAACAGTGAAAAGCTGAAAGCATTTTTTTTTCTAAGATCAGGAAATGATCTTAGAAAAGACAAAAAGACAAGGATGCTAACCCTCACCACTTTTATTCAGCATAGTATTGGAAATTCTAGCCACAGCAATCAGACAAGAAAAGGAAATAAAAAGAGTCTATATTGAAAAGGAAGAAATAAAATTATCATAGTTTGCAGATGACACGATACTGTCTTGCGAATTGTAAAGATGCCACCAAAAATCTATTAGAACTTATCAATGAACTTAGTAAAGCTGCAGTTTACAAAATTAATATACAGAAATCTGTTGTGTTTATACACCAACAACAAACTATCAGAGAAATTAAAAAAAAATCACATTTACAATTGCATCAAAAAGAATGAAACGTAGTAAATGTAACCAAGAAGATAAAGATCTGTACTTAGAAAATTATAAGACATTGATGAAAGAAATTGAAGAAGACACAAACAAATGGAAAGATGTACTGTGCTCATGGATTGAATAATTAATATTGTTAAAATGATCATATTCTCCAGAGCAGTTAAGATTCAGTGCATTCCCTATCAAAATACCAATGACATTTTTTATAGAAGTAGAGCAAATAATTCTAAAATATGTATGGAAATGGAAAAGACCTCAAATAGCCAAAAAAATCTTAAAAATGAAGAACAAAGCTGGAGATATCACACTCCCTGAATTCAAATTATGCTTCAAAGCTACAGTCATCAAAACAGTGTGGTACTGGAACAAAACAAGACATACAGATCAATGGAACAGAATAGAGAAGCCCAGAAATGAATTCACACTTACATAGTCAATTAATTTTTTACAAAGGAGGCAAGAATATAAACTGGAGAAAAGACAGCCTCTTCAGTAAGTGGTTTTGGAAATACTGAACTGCCATATACAGAAGAATCAAACTGGACTAGTTTCTCATATGACATACAAAAATAAACTCAAATAGATTAAAGACTTACACATAAGGCCTGAAACCATAAAACTCCTAGAAGAAAACATAGGCATACTCTTTGATGTTGGTCTTAGCAAATTTTTTTCAGACTAGTCTCCTCAGGCAAGAGAAGCAAAAGCTGAGATAAATAGATGGGACTGCATCAAACTAAATAGCTTTTGCGCAGTGAAGGAAGCTGTCAACAAAACGCAAAGCTAGCCTACAAATGGAAGAATATATTTGCAAACATCATATACAAAACATACAAAGAATTTGTACAACTCAACATCAAAAAAACAACCTGAATAAAATATAAGCAGAGGATCTGAATAGACATTTTTTCCAAGGAAGACATCCAGATGGCCAACAGACACATGAAAAGATGCTCAACATCACTAATTATCAGGAAATTGCAAATCAAAATTGTGATGAAATATCACCTCACATCTGTCAGAATGACTGTTATCAAAAAGACAACAATTAAGTGTTGCTGAGGATATGGAGAAAAGGATACTCTCATACTCTCATGCACTTTTGTTGGGAATGTAAGTTGGTATAACTACTATGGAAAAAAATATGGAGATTCCTCAAAAAATTAAAAATAGAATTACCATACAATCCAGCAATTCCACTTATAGGGATTTTTCTGAAGAATAAAAAACACTAATTTGAAAAGATATGTACACTCTTATGTTCATTCCAGCATTATTTACAGTAACTGGGATATGGAAGGATTATAAATGTTCATCAGTGGATGAGTGGATAAAGATGTGATTTGTAGAATCAATAGAATATTACTCAGCCATAAAAGAGAATGAAGCCTTGTCATTTGTGACAATATGGGTGAACTTCGTTGGTATTATGATAACTGAAATCATTCAGACAGAGAAAGACAAATACCTAGAAAATAAAACAGACAATACAAGAAAGAAACAGACTCATAGATACAGAGAAGAAACTGGTGGTTGCTGGAGGAGGGGCATGTGAGGGTTTGGGCAAAAAAAGTGAAATGGATTGATAAGTACAGACTTCCAGTTACAAAATAAATGAGTGATGGGGATGAAATACATAGCATGGGGAATGTAGTCAAAAATATTGTGCTAACTTTGGTGAAAGATGGTAACTTGACTTATCTTGATTATTTTGTAGCATATAGAAATACTGGACCAGTGTGTTGTGCTCATGGAACTAACATAGTGTTGTAGGTGAAATATACTTCAGTGAAAAAGAAAGAAATATAAAGAACTCATACAACTCAATTAAGAAAAAAAAAAAACCTTAGTAAAAACTGGGCAGGGAGCTGAATAGATACCTTTTCCAAAGACATATGGATGGCTAACAGACACATGGAAAGGTGCTCAACATTACTAATCCAGTTTTCCCACTTCTGGGTTATCCAAAGACTACAAAAACAGTAATTTGAAAAGATATTGTACCCCTTGGTTCATCATGGCATCATTCACCATATCCAAGACATGGAAACAGCCTAAGTGCCCATCAATGGATGAATGAGTAAACAAGATGTGGTATGTATATACAATGACATACTACTCAGCCATGCAAAAGAATGAAATCTTGCCATTTCTGACAACATGGGTGGACCTTGAGGGTGCTACGGTAAGTGAAATATATCAGATGGAGAAAGGTAAATAGTGTATAGATTTAATTCCTATGTGGAATATAAAATAAAAAAACACTCCCCCTCCCCAAATAAATGAACAAACCAAACCCCCAAAAAACAAACATGTAGATGTAGAGGACAGATTTGTAGTTACCAGAGAGGAAGGAACAGGTGGGATCAACTTACAGTGGCAGATGGAAGCTAAATTTTTGGCAGTGGGCATGCTGTAGGGTATACAGAAGTAGGAATATAATGTATGCATGAAACATGTAATGTTATAAATCAGTGTTACTGCAGTTTTTTAAAATTGAGATTTTATTATTCTATAACAGTTTCTAATTTAAGTATGCCAGATATTAAACAATGTTTTATTGCTCTTTTAAAATTAAAAGTCATATCAAGGCTTCTTTATGATTAGATTAATGAAGATATAACTATTACATGCATCATGTGTTGTTTCTGGGCAGTCCACACACATGGATACATGAGAATGAATAAACTGATATATAAATATAAAATCATGAGTATATCCTGAAAGTTCTATTTCTAGATGCCATTTTATATAAGGGACTTGAGCATCTGTGGGTTTTGGTTTCTGCAGATGTCCTAGAATCAATCCCCCTCAGATACTGAGGGACAGTGACTACTGAAGAGAATAAAGTAGGGAAATCTATCTTTTGAAATATAAGTTGGCCATGATTGATTCTTAAATGAAAAAATCTGCAGAAACTTTTATATATATGAGTCTGTTTTTATCAAATAAATGTTTCCTTCTGAATTCCACCACAATTTATATGTTTGTGTACTACAGGAATATACCTAACACTGTTAGAAGCCTGGAATCAAGGTGTGTGCTGAGGGTCTGGGGGA